GTCAGTTTACAGAACAGTCTTTCAGACAGAAGAACACACATTTTGATAGAAGTACAACACTAGTGTTCAAATGTTGGGTCTTGCAGTCGTATCGTTATGGCAAGCAGCACATATTCATATATACAAGGAAATGAAATGGCAGATGAGGTTGCAAAGGTGGCCAAAAAACAGTGTTGTGACAGCTTCAGGAAGACCTAATTCAAGAGCATTATTAAACAGAGAATGAAGCAACCAGAGGAGGAAATGACGGTGATTTTAGATGTTTTATTACAGAAAGTGTATGAAACCCATGAACAAATACATTTTGTCACTGTGTTCCTCTTGTGTGGAATTATAGAATTAAAGAAGTGTGGTCAATATCTTGAGTTTTAAATGTGCCATGCTATGACAGTTTAGTTTCCCTCCCTCCCCACTTTGAGAACCACTGTTTAGAATAACTAATATGACTGAGAGGATATGAGTTGTTTTTTTAAAATAGGCCTAATGTAAGAACCTCTGGTGGAGAGCGCGGAGGTTTGGAGCTACGTGGAGAGAGTCAACGAACGGTGGCCGGAAAACATAGTAGGATCTGCATAAACTGTACTGTGAACGTAACATCATGTCAAATAGTTCAGCTGGGGATGAGATGGAGTGGATGATGTCCAGATCTGTAAGATTGAAAAGGGACTTGAGAGAAAGAGAGAGAGGGAAAAGTTAGTCAGAACATAGCGAGACCGGCGAAGGAAGTAATAACAAGAAACTGAGAGCTAGCCAGTGTGAGAAACAGAAGCCTGAGAATACAGAGAAAGTGCAAGGAAACGATTGGAAAGTTATAATTGAGTTCAACCAGGATAGTGGACACTATCACCCAATTAAACTTACAAAGGCGATTGGCAAAATTAAATTTGCAAGATTTTTGAACAATAAACGAAAACTGATACATGCAAGCAGCAAACAACAACAAGAAAAGATTCTTAGTATGTCCACACTTCAAGGGGAAAGGATGAAGGCCCACATCCCAGGAGCAACAGCAAAGGTTAGAGGAGTTATATCAGGAGTCCCTTTGAACAAGTCAATGGAAGATGTTAAAAATGAGATTCAGGGAGGCAAAGCAGTTGAGGCTACTAGACTAAAAAGCAAACGAGATGGATCGTTAAAAGACACACTATCTGTGGTTGTGCAATTTGAGAGAACCCTCCCTAAGTCAGTCCAAATGGGATACATAAATTACAGCGTGAGAGAATATATCCTTCCCCCTATCAGATGCTATAAATGTCAAAGGATGGGGCACACCGCTCAGCAGTGCAAAGGAAAGCTAAGGTGTGCTAGATGTGTGGGCCAGCACGAGTATGGGAAATGTGAAAAGGATGCAAAGATTAAATGTTGCAACTGTGGAGGAAAGCATAGTGCTGCATTTGGTGGATGTGAAGTGCAAAGAGAAGCCAGAGAAGCCCAAAAGGGGAAGATATTGAACAAAGTATCATATGCAGAAGCTCTAAAGAAAGTAAGAGAAACAGGATCAAATAACAAAAACTCCAGTGGAATTGTCCAAAGAAACATAACAGCAGTTAATCAGACACAAAACCAGATTCCAGCACACACACAGAATGGCTGCGAGCATAAATGTAAAGTTGACAATGATACGTTGATAGTGAAAAAAGTTTTCACCAGAATTAAGGCTATTGTAGAAACAGCAGGACAACTTCTTGATATGAAAGATATCAAAGCAGATCAAATACATGCATTGTTGATGGTAACTGAAAATGGAAATACACAAACAGAGGGTTAGGACGCTTATAATGGTTCTTCACATACTACAGTGGAACACAAGAAGTCTTATAGCTAATAGTCAAGAATTCAAATAGTACATTCATGAATTAGATGTTGTTCCAGATGCAATATGTGTACAAGAAACTTGGTTACGAGACAGACTCGATTATGTGATACCAGGGTTTAGCTCTATAAGGTACGATAGACCTAACAACCAAACTGGTGGAGTTGAAATCTATAGCCCAAGGAAAGAGGGAAATATCGAACTGATTAATTTCTACAACCCATGCAAAAACTTAGATATCAATAAACTTAATGAAATGGCAGGGACTGGATACAGGAAAGAAATTATGTTGTTATGGTGTTATGGTTATGTTGTACGAAGTCAGCAAACCTTGTGACGTTAGAAGCGGATGTAGAGGAGTGCAAAAAGCAAATTACAGAACACATTATAAATGCAGCACATTTAAGTATTCCAAAAAAAACAACAAAGGGCAGGAAGAAAGTGGTCCCCTGGTGGAATGAGGAGTGTAGCAGAGCTGTAAAAGAACGAAACAAAGCCTTTAAAACATTAAAGAAGAATTTATCACAAGAGAGTGTTTTGGATTTTCAAAGGAAAAGGCACGTAGGACAATTAAGTTAACCAAAAAGAAAAGTTGGAGAGAGTTCTGTTCCACCATAGGTAGAGGTGTAGAGTTAGGGGATATGTGGTCTATGTTTAAAAGAATGAGTGGGAAAAGGAAAGTGATTAAAATCCCAGCTTTGATAGATGGAGGAAAGACGGTGGTGTCAGACAAAGAAAAGACAGAGATGTTGGGTAGGGCTTTTGCGGCTGTGCATAGTGGTGATCACCTTATGGATATTTCATAAGCAACAGAAAGACCTGGCACTCAGAGAAAATAAGGACGTGAAGCTGAAGAGGGAGGATGGTACAACAACTTTAGATGTGGATTTTACAATAACAGAACTCAATATAGCTCTGCTTGGCACGGGATATACAGCCCCAGGACAAGACCAGTTATGTTATGCCACGTTCCGACAGCTGCCAGCAGGGTCAATTAAGCTAGTGTTAAGACTGTTCAATAAAATATGGAAGGATGGAATAATACCGAGAAGTTGGAAAAGTGCAGTTAGCAAACCTGGTAAAGACCCAACCAATCCTGGTAATTATAGACCCATAACTCTGACATCACACTTATGCAAATGGATAGAGAGGATAATAGTTCGTAGGTTATAACATGTAATGGAACAGAGAGGACTACTGAGTGATATACAAAATGGATTTCGGAAAGGGCGCTCCACAACAGATGCTCTCGTTAGAGTAAGCAATGAGGTAGAAAAGGCACTGAAAATGAAAGAGCTGATGATAATAGTGTATTTTGACATTGAGAAGGCATATGATACTATGTGGAGGGAAGGACTACTTATTAAACTAAATAGAATGGGGTTTGAAGGAAGGATTTATAACTGGATACTAGACTTTTTAACAGATAGGAAAATTAGAGTAAAGGTTGGATTAGAAATTTCTACAGAGTTTAAGGTAAATAATGGCATTCCCCAGGGGAGCGCAATTAGCCCTATATTATTCAACATTATGATTAATGATATATTTTCAGATTTATTTATCAAATCAGCGTTATATGCAGATGATGGGGCCATAAGGATGAGAGGAAGAAATGAGACATATGTGTTGGAGAACATTAGGAAAGCAATAGGGAAAGTAGAGAAGTGGTCATTCAAGTGGGGATTTAAAATATCAACAAGCAAATCCTGTTATATGGTGTTCACAAACAAGCGAAAGTGTCATGTAGAAAAGCTTTTTCTATATCAGCAGCCAATGGAAAAAGTAAATGAATTTAAGTATTTGGGATTGTGGTTTGATAGTAACATGGAAAACACACATAAAGCAATTGGAAACTAAATGCAAACAAGTTATTAATTTACTGAGAGCGGTGGCAGGATGCGACCGGGGTGCAGATAAACAGTCACTAATTGACATATATAGAGCATGCATGAGGTCATCAATAGATTATGGTTGCATAGTATATGATGCAGCAGCAAAAACAACATTGGAAAAAATTAATAAATTACAATACAGAGCCTTACAGATATGCATTGGAGCCATTAAGACAACTCCCATTAACACAATACTCATAGAAGCTGGAGAGACACCACTGGAGTTAAGAAGAGAGAAACTAGCGCGAGCATATTGGGTCAGATTGAAAAGAAGTGGGAAAGAAAACCCTGCAAAGGAGATAACAAAGGATTGTTGGGAATATTTCAAGTTTCAGGGGCATGGGTTTGGATGGACGGGGAGAAAAGAGAGTCAGCACACCCAATCTAGTCAGTAACATTCAACCTTGGCTCTATCCAGACCTAAAAACAGATTTTAGTATACTGGAAAAGAAAAGAGGATGGGGAATAGAGGAAGTGGGAATACGGACTAGCAGCTATCTGAGAAACAGTTTCCATAATTATCTAAAAATCTATACAGATGGATCTAAAAACAAACAGGAATGTGTGGGAATTGGAATATATATACCAGAATTCAAAATAAATATCTCAAAACGATTATCAGATATCCGTATATAGAAACATATACAGAAATAGTGGCAGTCATTATAGCATTACAGTGGGTTGAAGAGGTCAGACCCGATAGGGTGATTTTATGCACAGACTCCTTATTGGTTATTAAAAGCATTCAGTCAATGAAGACCTATTGATAGAAATATTTCCCAGCTTGTTAAGATTACATCGGGGAGGGATAGATGTTCAGTTTTGCTGGGTGCCAGCTCATGAGGGAGTAAATGGAAATGAGATTGCAGACAAACTAGCAAAAGAGGCATTACAAAAGGTCTGTCAGTAATAACAATTATAGCGAAAGGAACAGGCGGGAGGAAATTATTATGACAAGACTAAGAGTAGATCACACAGGACTGAATGACACCTTGTTTTTATTGGGGAAAAGGAATAGTGAAAAGTGTGGGGTTAAAGAAAATGTTGAACTGGAAAGACAGATATTTCAAGATAGGGTTCAGGAAACAGGGCGGGAATGGAATCTGATGGGGGTGTTGGGAACAGAGGGAGAAGAAAAGGGTATAAGAATCACCAGGAAAGCATTATTTAAATTTCTTAAAGACACTGGGTTGGTGAACAGAACATGAGAGCACCTTATTGAGGTTGATAGCTGAGTGAGATGATGTTACACACTCCAGTACAGTAGGTGGCGGTATGCACTTAAAGGTTGTTTGCAAGCCACCATTAACTAAGAAGAAGAAGAAGGAGACGAAGAAGAAAAAGAGCTAAATCGACGTGGACAATAATTTGGACAATAATTGATATAATTCAGAGCAGCCATGGATATAGCTCTGTATCTGGTGGCAGCTGCCATGCTCATTGTCCTGATTTTGTTTGCGTTGAAGGTGCGGAAGAAAACACAGGAAGGTAGGAGCCTTTAGACGTTGGCGAGCTAACTGTTAGCATAGTTAACGTTTGTGCTAATCAAACTGTTGCGCTCCAAACTTCAGCTCCTTCACTTTCGACGCGGTGTCATGTTTTTCTTTTTTGTACATGTTTATACATATTTAAATAGTCAGAACAAAAGCTTTCAGCTATAAGTTCTCAGTTAAAGTCAGAGACTGTAAACACGCAGCTGTCAAAGCTGTCACGAACTACGGAGGCTGCTGAGGGCCATTTCAACCAGCATTACTTTATTTATTTATTTATATTTATAGATAAATTGAATAATTGACTATTAAATTGATTGCAAACTATTTAGATAATTGATTTTTTTTATTTAACCAGGTAAGTCTCATTGAGATTAAAATATCTTTTGCAAGAGAGACCTGGCCAAGACGCAGCATAAAAGAACATAAAGGACAAGTTTCCAACATATAAAAGACATCAGTCATACATACATAAGTAACACAAACCCCTGTGTTGAATAAGGCAGAATACAACTTTATAAACAGCGACAATAACCAATGTTCACCTGCTCCATATCCTTCAGAGTTGAAACAAACTGTCTATAAGAAATAACGAGTTCTGACAAAGGGTCCAAGCAGAAGGTCCAGCAAACATTAATGCTTTTTTAAACCTAATTCTGAGTACTTGAGTACTTGTTAAAAAGATATTCAAATAGGTAGGAGCTTGAAGTTGTAACTGGAAGTTGTCTTGAGTTTGTGAATACCATTACTTTGGACTTTTCTGCATTTAAGACCAATTTAAGCTGTTTTAAACGGTTCTGAACAATATTGAAAGCAGACTGCAAAAGATCAAGGGCTTGTGCAGTAGATGATGCAGTACAGTAAATAACATTGTCATCAGCATAAAAATGATACATAGCATTCGATAGATTATCACAAAGATTGTTTGCACAAATTGAAAACAGTATGGGCCCAAGTACTGAGCCTTGAGGAACCCCCTCGGAAATGGGCAAAAAGGAAGAGAAAGATGCTTAGAAAGGCCAATGCTCAGTAATCGATTTGCCAGAATGCAGTGATCAACTGTATCAAAAGCTTTTGAAAGATCTATGAACAGTGCAGCACATATTTTCTTGTTATCCAGTGCCTCAACAATATCATTTATCATTAAATCGGTTTGAGGAATTTTCCAGCTTCTTAAATGTGAATATGTTCTGGTTTCATTTCTCCTCTATGACAGTAAACCGAAAATTTTTGGATTGCTGACAAAACAAGACATTTGAGGGATTTAGGAAGCACTAAAATTCTTAATGTTTTGTATATAAAACCTAAACTTAATGCATTCTGCTGCTACATTTGGAAGAAAAACACCCACCCAACAGGAAATGTTGGCATTTTTGTCTTCTAATTCTATGAATTGATAGATGATCATTTTATTGTGGTAAGGATCGGGAGGCACCAGTCTCACTATAGTTTCAGTGGCCAACCTCAGGGCATTGGCTAATAGCATGCACTGATTGTATACCAGTGCTGTTCTTTTAAATTTGAAATCTATGCAGTCATTTCATATACAATGTGCATAGACACAGATATAGATAAGCATGATATTTTGTGTGCCCTCTCCATTCCCAGCCGATGAGGGGCAACGGAGGGATGTTATCCGGGCAGTGGGGGCTCCTCAGCGGGCGGCAGAGGAGCGAGGAGCCGGTATGCCTCGCAGGAGGAGGAACTTTGCAGCGGTGATGGCCAACAGACGACCACAGAGAGACGCCGTGGAACATGGTAAACACATAACTTTGTTTTATAATTTAGCTGTTAATGCTAAGGGTTGAGATAATGTAATCACACACATTTAATGCCGAACATCTATACATAATACCAGAGCGCAATGTTTATAATGACCTTCTGCTTAGTTTGTGCTTGAGCTGATATAATCTGAACTGTAATACCACTGTAACTATGTATTTTGTGTTTATGTGTTTGTGTTTTTGTTAGCAAGAGTTTGTTTCTCCTGAAACTGTCTCTTCAACCATTTACCCTACAAGATTCCACCTCCCCTCTCTGGACAGTGTAGTAGATTTCCAGTATAAAAAAATAAGTTTTTCAAACAACAGGACTTAATTATGCTCTAGGGTGTCCAGTTAGCCATTCCAGAGAGCCACCATCACCACCGCCAGGACACTGGAACTGAAGCACCTGTTTTGAAAGTTTTTTTAATAACAACAAAACAATTTTCCAGTTATGGAAAAGTACAAAAATATTTAGATGGAAATTGAAAAGTGTGCTGTTGATTTCAGAGGAGGAGCGTGTGGAGGAAGAAGAAGAAGAGGAGCAGCAGCAGCAGCAGAACCTCCCGCCGACAGCAAAAGTTGGAGCCAAGAAGCAGAAGAAGCTGGAGGAGAAACAGGCCAAGAAAGCCCAGAGAGAGGTGAGAGGTCCATTCTGCGCACTAAATACTGTCGATTTTGTTGATGGACATTATTCTTTTACAATGCAATGTACAGGGAAACATGGAGCCGCTGCTCACATCTGCAAATTATATTGGAAAAGGAAAAATGTAAATCTTAAATATTTGTAAAAACATTTTGAAATCTCTTTGTGAAATTTAATTGGCAGTGACACTTTGAAGTCGCAATTTGTTTAACATCCAAAGCCGCATGTTTGGTATTATTTCCTGCATACAGCATACTATGACAAATAATGTAGTATGTAGCAAATACATAGTATGTAGTCTGGAGTAGGGCCAACCTCGTTCTAATCCCAGGCCGTCACATATGGACGCTTTGTCAACAGCCTTTGCCGTCGCTTTAGCATCCACAGTCACGTTAGCAAGAATAAATATACAAAGTACGGTTAGACTTTATATAGTGCTTAACTTTGTGAAATGGCACGTGGTTAACGTTGTACAACATTGTAACACGTTGCAAAAAAACTACCTGGTCAGGTTTAGGAAAAGATCATGGTTTGGGTTAAAGTAATTGTTACTTATGAGACTAATATTATGTAAGTTAAGTAAAGCTACTTACATAAGTCATGTAACTTATCTAACATCACTCAAAGGAATCAATGTTGTTATACATGGGAAACGAACACCAGTCTTCTGTGTGAAAGTCCGGTTTTTGGCCCACCCATGAACCCCAACCACCTCCTTACTTCAACTTTTCGGTTATTTATAGTAGTACTTTTAGCGTTAAACAACGGCACTCAAAGGCTTCCCCTACTGGGTTGATCAATGACACGTGGTGCAAGACGCTGAAGGACGTGACAAAGTGTAGATATTTGACACTCTGGGAATGAGAACGGGCTGGCTGAGCACAAGATGGCGTTAATATAATCAAGGGATGTCAAAGTGTCATGCCATGAATGAATGAAGTATGATCCTAAGTCTTCCATAGTCACATTAGGATGGTAAAAGCTTAATAAACAACTGACAGGACGGCATACATTATTATGTTTGGTTTCAAATTCCAGTCTTATTTAGTGTCTGATGACAACCCTCAGATATCTTTAGCTCACTGTTTTGGTTTTAAAACTCCACTGTGAACTGGCCCTTTTGCAGTAACATTCAGTATTGTATTGTGTTGGTTTTGTGTTTTCAGGTGGAGATGGAAGAGAGGGAGGAGAGGAAGAGGATGCAGGAGCTCAGAGAGCAGGAGAGACGTCAGGCAGAGGAGAGAGAACGACTTCAGGAACAGAGACAGGTCACACCCTTTCCCTCAGCAGCTCTTTCCTTTCTTTGTGTCTATACGAGGTGATGCTGAGACTCTGTGCTGATGTCTATTCAGGAAGAGGAGGAGCACCGGGCTAAAGAGGAGCAGGAGAGACGAGAGGAGGAGGAGTACTTAAGACTCAAGGCCTCCTTCATCATAGAAGACCAGGGAGAGGAAGAGCATCTCACTGAGGACCAGGTCACATCTCTGCCCAGCTCATTTCATCTCAACATTCAATTTTCTCATAATATATCACTGTAATATTTTAAATATAACAAGTGTTTGTGGTCTTTCCTCTCAGTCACGCAACCTGCTGCAAGAATTCATCCAGTACATCAAGGTGAGAGCTGACCGACTCCACACACTCAAACCTGTGCTGAAGTATCTGAATCTAGTGTTTAAACAGTGTCCCCACTGTCCTGCAGAGCTCTAAGGTGGTTCTCCTGGAGGACTTGGCTTCTCATTTTGGGATGAGGACACAGGATGCTATTGACAGACTGCAGGACCTGTTGGCAGAAGGCTCCCTCACAGGTGAGTGTGATGAACATGACATGCAGAAATGTTCCTGTGTCTCATTAAAACCAGCACAGTACCCTCAAACTTAAATTAAAAGCCTAGTCTCAATGATAGACCCCTGTCTGTTTTACTGGTCTGGTGTGGCAACACTTTTTGACAAATAAATGCAGGTCTCAATTAGACAGCTGGTCTTTGGATCTATAAAAACCTCTTAAAGCCCACCAGGTCACCATCTTGAGCTAGTACTAAGCTGCTTAAATGGCACAACAAAGTTTTACGGTATCTGTTCCCACTTATATCAGAAATGAGTTTTTAAAGTATTGTTTAAATACACATATTCATTGATATTGAAAAACAGTGCCAGAGGGAAGATGCAGCATGACACAGCTGCATCCAGTAGACATGAGTTCTGAAGCAAACAAGTCAGATCAACGATCTGCAGCAGGAATGAACTGGGAGGTTTCAAACATCTGTGGATGAAATGAAACATCAAACTTTAAATGCCCTCTGTAGACGTCATATTATTCCACACTACACTTCCTTGAAATATTTTAGATGAATAAAGCCGGCTTCTTGGCCGTCACATGACTACCTGGCTAGATGACATGCATGTCCAAACAACTTCACTTTAAGCAGGTAAACAAATTGCCGATTAACCAAAATAAATCGCCGTGCCAGTAGTTTTTGGCCGAGGTTACACTTGATTTGATACTGAAGTAATTTTTCTAATAAAGTGATGGATCAGTTTCTTCTTCTGATGTATTGTATTTTGCTTGCTGTTTCCTGCAGGAGTGATTGATGACAGAGGGAAGTTTATCTCCATCACTCAAGAAGAGCTGGACTCAGTGGCTCATTTCATCAGACAGAGAGGCAGAGTGTCCATCACAGAGCTGGCTCAGGCCAGTAACTCTCTGATCAACCTGATGCCTGAGAGCCGCAGCACCGCCTGATTGACACCTTACTGACGCAGAACACCTGGACCACACTCTTCACACATGAAAAGCACACACTGGACTGTAAATCTGCTTTTGGCTCGAGTTTGGTGCCAGGTGACGGATCAGTTGCCTGCAGGTGTCAGGCTTCAAATAGATTTGGACTTGTTTGATTAATCTAAAAATTGAAATTAACAGACAGTGACTACAGTGTTTGGCATTACATTAACAAGCCCTTATCAACATGACAAACAATCACTTAGTATTGTTGCAAAACAAAAGTAAAAATTTTGGGATTCATGTTTTTAGAGCTCATTCCACCAGATGTATGGCTGCCTGCTGTGAATGAAATCTGTACGGTGCAACTGCGAGCTGGGCATCCCCACGCACAGTTATCCTGTTTTACCTCATCAAAGCTCATCTCTAGGGCTCCAAGATTACCTTTCAGCCAACACATTTTGCTCTCCATGCGTCCGCTCAAATGTAATTGGTCAATAGGGCTCGGAGTAGAACACTTCCGATACCAAAAACCTTTTCCCTTGACTACAGATATTGTATTCATGTACAGATCTCTTAAATATCTATAAATATTATAATGAGAGTAATGAATCACATAGTCCTTTCTGTGCTCAACTCAACTTTCATTGTACATACCAAACTCTGCACTATAAATGCAATACAATGAACACATATTATACTTATAACACTTAAATAGACATTTTATTATATAATCTACCATCTGCTTTATGAAAAAAGGAATTTTCAAACACTGATGGCAGGCACATCAGGCATTTGACCTAAAGCGAGTTTCTGTTACGAAATCAGGATTGTTCTTTTCATAAAGTCTTTTCATTTAATTGAGTCCACAAGACTAAAAAAAAGAATCAGTCTCAGAGGCAAAGGTGGATTTCAGCTGGATGTCTCCCGGTCTTTGTCCGGGACTGTCTGTCCTATCTGTTTTCCCCGAGTTATCTCCCACGTCGAGTTGGCTCCTCTATCCTGAAAACAGGAAAAACAAAATTGGTACAACCTCCCTGTAAACTGTAATATTTGACATCAGTCTAAATGCTGCATGTAGCCACCTTTTCTGTATTCAAACTGTAAAATATTAATTTTAATTTAAATGTGAGCCAACCCAGCATACCTTTATCAGCACACCCAAGGGTACCAGGTCCTTTCTGAGGGTGTCACAGGCTTGAATGAGGGGGATTCTCTCTGGGTAAAGTCCAGCTTTGTTGGGGGATCCGGTGGTTGGACCATCCTGACGAGCGAGTGCGAACACTCGAACTTTGCTTCTGAAACAAGTCAGCTGCTCCACGACGCCCTCCAAACTTCCACAGCTACTCGCAACATCAGCATCCTGCACATGACGGCAGGACAGCAGAGGTGAGGAAATGTGTGAGAGAAAAAAACGGTTTCTAATGTGGAATACCTTTTAAAGAAAAAGTCTGTCCACAAATCCCCAACCCAGCACCTTGTGTTCTGACCTTACTGTGCAGAAGATCGATGCCAAACACATCCAAGACATCTCTGATGTAGCTGACCATCGCTCCAAACACTGCAGGGCTCCGAGCCACTCCGTCAGACTGAACCGAGATAAAATACACATACAAGGGTTCAGTGTAAATGCACAGACTATGAGTCACAAATATATATTACAATTGGTAAACACACGATCTACTAATAAAATCAAAATCCACAAACAACCTTTCCATGATCCACAAATATAAATCGGTCAGTTGTACTCGAAAACCAGAATATATATATATATATATATATATATATATGTATGAATGCAAAATTATTTGTCTGTGCATGACAGTCATATTCTATACATGTTTTTCATTTGTTTTCAGCATTTTGACACTACTGTTTTGCTGTTTTTACAAATGCACTCTTCACAATTTGCAAACAAACACTGTCTAACTTGACTAACTAGACATGTGTACAAATTCTGTGCAAAGCTCAGCATTCAAGTGTCAAATCTTTGTTTGCAGATCACATTGTTATTTGTGGACTGCTTCATATTAGTCTACAAACCATTCTGAAACTGTTTTGTGTGACTACGATCCACAAACGTAGTCGGCCACTCAGGGGTATTGCTTCTATGTGATGTCAAGTCATCTTAATAAGCCTTTCAAATGATAATAATAGCATGCAGTGAAATTCTGGTTTTCAAGTACAAGTTACTAATTTCTATTTGTGGATCATGGAGAGTTTATTTGTGGATTTTGGATCTATTTGTAGATTATATTTTGTGTCTACAAACTAATGTATATCTGTGACTCAGTCTGTACACTTACAATGATATTGACATCAATTTACCTCCATACAATGACCCTCTTCTTCTAGTGACTCTCTTCAGGACAAGGATTACATTTTTTGTTTTACTGGTAAGGCTTGTTGTAAACAATGATTGACAGGTAGTATTGGCAGAACTGTAACCTTTAATCTGTTTGCGTCAGATGTGCAGTTAAACACTGTGCGTTACCTTACAAACCGGCTGGAGTTGGCAGTTACCATGATAAACCAGGTTCATCACAGCATTAATGGCTCGCGGGGTATCAAAGTCATCTGCGAGTGCTTTCACCACAGTGGATTTCGTCTCAGCTAACCTGAAGAAACAAAAGAACACTAGTTCTTCCAATCAGCTGAATTATAACTAGTAGACGAAAGAAATGATCATATCCTTATTGATTAAAATGGAACCTATTTAATAACTATGATGAAAGTCAATATTGCTAATTTGGACATGCAATTTAACTTTTAATTGGGTTTACTCTCGCACATTAACATAATGAGTAATAATAATAAAACTGTTAAGTACACAGTATGACAACAACAGAAACACATATGATAAAGACCATTACATGAATTAAACTGGAGGGAGTTGCTACCTCTCCCAGAGAAAAGCTTCCTGTACAGGTGAACACTGCAGCTGGCCCTTCATGTAGGCCTGAGCCTCATGGATGAAGGTGGAGATGGTTCCCAAGGAGGTCCGAGCCTCTGACATGCTACTGTCACTGTAGTCTACAGCTGTGAAGACGCCACAAGAAATCACAAATGTTCGTCTGTTCGCTACTGAAAACTTAACATCTTGGACACAGTCCACAGCATTTTAATTTTTCCCACCTGATCTGTATTTGGTCAAAAGACAAAACATCCGGAATTCGTTGGCAGAGTAAGACTGCAAGAAATCCTGATGGAGGACAAAAAACACAAACTCTCACAAACGTCAGCATACAATACAGAGGATACAGGCATATATGCTTACAAACAGTTACTCAACAAGGGATGAATAATGACTTTACCTTGATGGTGACATAGTTCTTTAAAGATTTAGACATCTTCTCTGCACTGCCTTTTAGGTGTAAGTGCCCTGAAAACAATAACACAAACACAAAGACGTGTTGACGTTCGTAGAATACACTTCAATTGTGCTCCCTTGTAGAGATTAACCACACTGGTGAAAATGGATCTTTTTACTCACACCATCGGCACATAATAAACAGTGCACCTGTACAGTCCACACACCTACAACTGATGCGTCATCAGTGTTATACATGGACTGCTCGAAGTAAGATGAGTGAAACTGGACAAAACTGTGCACAAGTATTAGGAATTCATGAATGTGGGCAGTGGAAACCACACAGTGGAGCAATTATGTCTGCAGGAAGTAAAAATATTCATATCAAATCAAAACTACCTCTGCAAATTAGGTTTGGAAGTTTTAATTTAAGCTATTAAATAATAAGAATAAATTTTTTAAGCGGTGTTAAACTCAAAGAATAGCAGACTTGCTGTGGTTCTGTCAAATTACAAGCATAGCATTTATAATTTAGCAGGAACAAAATCTACTGTCTGCTATAAATGAGGTGTGGATAAGCAATACAACAGAATATAATCACTGCAAATTTCATTTAGCGCTGTGCTGTCAGTGTGCTGTTGGCAGCTCCTTAAATCTGCAGAAAATAAAGCTTCTTTTGCTTTGAACAAATTTGGTTACTTTTCATTCTCATTAAAAGACTTGGAACCCCGATGCCATAAAAACCATTTCAATAAGCAGAATCATTGTCGCTAAATGATACCTAACCCTGTAACCTCGGTGATATATTTAGATGCTGATTATATTTTAAAGCCAGGTGGTAATGAGTTACTAAACATTGAATTATTAAACATTTAAAAGCATGTTCCAACCTGGTTTATTGGACGTTTAGAGAGAGAAAAAAAGGATTTACCTGAGTGGAGGAAGTAGTTTGCCCACTGTCCACACTGGTGATAGGCTTCGCTCTGAGCAACCTCATTCTCGTGGTGAGGAAAGGCCAGGTCGATACCTCCAGAGTGGATATCCAGCTGACTCCCAAACACTGAGCTGAAACCACCACAGGGAAGACAATGTAGACTGAGTCTGAAGAGCACGCAATATCATTAATAAGCAATCTACTGATTAGTTGACAAATCTGGAAAATGCCAATCACAAGATCCAAGAAACCATAGTGATTTCTTACAACTGCAAAGGTATGAAGTATGCCTAGCTTAAGCTCTGTGTATAAGTTTGCAGAACAAAAGTCCCTGGCATCTGTATAAAACTGGGCTTCAAATTAGTTTCAGTAGCATCATAAATAGTTGCATATGATTTATGCTAAAAATCCTTTCATATTTTTCAGGCTTCTAATTAAAGTAGTAAGGCCCAAGGACAGACTAACATACAGTGTGAGCCAGGCTGTTGTAAATCCAAACCTAGCAACTGTAGAGCATTCAATATGCCAGCCGGGTCTTCCTCTGCCCCACGGAGATTCCCAGTACGGTTCCTGAGGTTTGGACCGCTTCCAAAGAGCAAAATCCCTCGAGTCTCGTTTATTTGCGCTGCCTGGAGAACCACAAAGTTTGTTGTCAGTTAGTAAAGTTAACATGTAGCCTGATACAGAACAAGCAGTGCCAATGATCACAGTGTGTGTGGGGGTCTCAAAAAGCCACTTTTCAAAACTTTTAATGATGCATCTCTAATTCAAGAGGCTGAAGAAACGTATCTTCAAACAAGCCCAGTTGCTTTTTCATTTTAACCTTACCTCAACTTTAAGAAATCTGAGATTTCCTTTAAAGGATGAAAAAAATCTAACGATAACGACCCAAACAGGCATGAGTAAGTTTTACTCTTAGAGAGCAGTTATCCCAAAAAGGTCTCTCAGATGCGGAAAAGATGACAGCACTCTGCTCTCAAATTCCTTTTCAGCATCCAATTTATTTTCTTCAGTAAGACAGACCTGACTGGCACTGACTGAAGCAGACAGATCCACTTACCAGGTTCCGCATGGGAGTCCACAGCTCCCACAAACTTTCCGTAACGATCGCCAATGGACTGGATGTCAAAATACACGTCACCTGCAACCAAGGCATTTCACAAGTGCTGACTCAGCTACTGTGGGGACACAGCCGTCACTTCATGAGAAAAATAACAATCACAAGTCCCTAAATATTCACCTTCTTTTGTGGCATAAGCGTGTCCATTTCTGATGATTCCCTCAATAAACGCGACAATATGATGCACATTCTCAGTGACTCTTAAATACACTGCAGGAGGAATCACCTCAAAAACAATGACAGAAGATAAAAACGTTTATAGATAAATACACTTCACAGTAACGTTAGCCCCCACTTTTTTTTTAAAACTTCACTAGCATTTATGATTACATTTGAGTTACAAATAATAATAATAACCCTGTTTATATCAAAAATTAAATTCAGAACGTGACAGCTTGAGTAACAAAGTGTACATTTTGAGGACATGTCAATAATTCTCACAAACTTTTCTGTCCTGTTGCTGCAAAAATATTATTCCATGGAGTGATTCTGTGTCAGTCATGAACGTAATCAGTAAATTAAATCACATACTTCAATGCTGTGACCTAATCACACACCTTTAATGACTGCATATCCTTCTTGAATTCATCTTCATACATTGTGGCAATGATGGTTGGGGAAACATTTTCCTATAAAACAAGGGAAACACATTTCCTGAATAAACATGCTTCCATCAAAACTAATGGATCCAGCAGCATTAGGGCTGAACAATTTTGAAAAGAATCTAATTGCTATTATTTTGACTGATGTTGCAATTGCGATACGAATTGTGATATTGGTGGGAATGATCATTTTAATTGCAACACTCTCTTGTAATCTTACCTCCCAACTTCTTTTGATAATTTTGTCATCAATGTCAGTGATGACCATTGCATGCACGACTGTGACTCCAAACAGCCTGGACAAAATCCTCTGCAGGATATCAAACCTGACATAAGAGCTGTGAAAAGACACACGCAAAGATTACATTTGGCACATTTTACAACATCTGGCTTATACAGTAAGTGTTTTCATCAGTACCATGCATGGCCCAGGTGGGCATGGTCATACACGGTGGGTCCACAGCTGTACCTGAAAACACAACATACGCACAATAACGTTGCTGTGTAAGTTACAATGCAGTTATGAAAAGTGTGTTTTATTTATATAAAAATATTCCGTACCAGGTAGCTACTCCCTCTCTTGCCAGAATGAGAGGCTCTTTCTGTTTAGTCAGGCTGTTGAAAGTCTTTAAACCCGTGTCAAACCCGCGGGGTGTTATCCATTTCTTCCCTGAAACACCGCTGCAGGATCCATTTGATGTGAATTTGACAGTGTTGGCTGACTGGACTGAGAAAAGCCCGCGGAGGACGTTTGCTTTCCTTGACAGCGACCTCACTGAGCACCTCCACATAGTGAAACCTCACACAGGATGAAGCTGCATCCGCACTGCTAGCTTAGCTTAGCTTAGCTTAGCTTAGCTGCTCGCACATTAACACAGCGCGCAGTCTGAGGTCAGTGCTAGCAGACCTGTGGTGCATTCAGGTGCTGTCTTCAGATCAGATTTAGAAGAACTAATATCTCACTGTAAACATACTCTGTTACAAGTATATAGAAACAATAACCCAGTAAGCCACCTGTTTACTGGATACCACTTATTATTTATTCATCATTCTCTATTTCAGTGCTGTTCATGCTGTTCATATTGTCATTTTGTATATTGAATATACTGTATACTGAACCCACTTACCTCAAGTACATAACACCTGCACATAATACTTATTTATTCCAGCATCCTTTGCATTATGCTCCATCACACTGTGTACATGTATGTGAACCTGTATATCACATCCAACTCTGACATGTACATAATAATAATAATGATAATACTAATTTTACTCCTGCATCCTTTGCACTCTGCTCACTGCACCTCCTCCTCCTCCTGGTAAATAATTTTCAAAAACGACAGACATGTACACTGTTAATAGAGTATTTGATGAGCTTCCTTGACACCATGTTAGTTATTTAATTCTCTATCCATGTAATGAATTTACCTATTTTGTATCCCTCATTTATTGACTTCTCTACGTTTACTTAATTACTTTTTCTACAGTTGTTTACTGTCTGTTTGTTTGTTCCTGTAGTTTCTTTTTGTGTGTGTATATTTTATGTGGTATGTTTTTTTTTGCTCTCTGACATTGTATTGTGTATTTGTACGTATTTAACTATTATTGTAATTTTTAATAAATAAAAAAACATGGTTGAGCTATTTGTAAATGTCATAACTGCTGAATTCTTTTCACCACTTAACCCCTGGTACTTAAAAATATGTATCCTGTCATCTGTCATTGTACTTGGTTTGCAATAAAAATACTATAAAAAACACATGGTAAATGGTAAGAAACCTTTGATTAATGGCGCAAAATCACTTATTGCATATACATTGTTTGCTAACATGTTATTTGTAGCATGATATTAGGTTATAACGGTTAGTTTGCAGCCAATGTAGCGAACTAGATTGATTAGAAAATACATTTACAAGTATTTGCCGCACAAGAAACAGTTTGGTGGTTTCCAACACGTCTTTGTGTCAGTGTCCATGTTATTTCCAGATTCCTACACACCGTGGAGCACGTGAATGCACCATTGAATCACCAACAGTCTACGCTCCACACGTCACCTCCGCACTCCTCGCGAGAGTTTGATACCAGAAGTGTTAGGACGTATCATGTGATTTCCTCTTGCTGGCTGTCTCTGCTTGAGTAGCTATGTCAAAATACTAAGTGTGATTTTGACAGGACGGTTTGAGGAGAACCCCGCGTTCTATCGAAGAGGAACCCTTCAAGATGCAGAACGTGATAAACACAGTGAAAGGCACGGCTCTCGGAGTGGCCGAGTTCCTCACTCCAGTGTTGAAGGTAAACTTGCACCAGCTAGCTTGTTGATAGGTGGTGGCTACTATGAGCTGTCATAAACACATGAACAGATGATCGCTGTTGTCCAGTAGCTAATGATTATCATCCCTTCATTAATGCCGTTTCACAGTTCAGCTAAATGAGCAGCACATTTATTTAGGTAACAGCTGGATGTTTTTAAAAGTGAAATCCCTCTGAGAGACACACTTTTGGTTTTATTATTAATCACAGGAATCAAAATTCAAAGAGACTGGAGTCATCACACCAGAGGAGGTGAGGACAAACGGTAGTATTATGTGTTTTATTGTCTTTCCTTATAAAACACTTTATAGCGGCTCAAACTGCTGTCTTTTGTGTTTTAGTTTGTAGCAGCAGGAGATCACCTGGTTCACCACTGTCCCACATGGAAATGGTGAGTTTCTACTTTGAGCTGAATCACAGAGGTGGGGCTGGTAGTACTGCTGGTAGTACTGGTAGTACTGTGGTTACTGCTGGTAGTAATGTGATTACTGCTGGTAGTACTGTTAGTACTGTGGTTACTGCTGGTAGTACTGTTAGTACTGTGATTACTGCTGGTAGTACTGTGGTTACTGCTGGTAGTACTGTGGTTACTGCTGGTAGTACTGTGGTTACTGCTGGTAGTACTGTGGTTACTGCTGGTAGTACTGTTAGTACTGTGGTTACTGCTGGTAGTACTGTGGTTACTGTGGGTCCTACTGATGAGTATTGATAAAACATGCGCTGATATAAAATACTGGGGTGTTATGTTTGTGTTTCCGTCTCTTCAGGGCCACGGGGGAAGAAGTCAAGGTGAAGCCATATTTGCCCCAAGACAAACAGTTTCTCCTGACACGTAATGGTAAGAAGTGGATTTAAAGAGCGGACTGCTGTTTGCGTTATGTTTTACTTTCATCACTGTTCCCTCCACCAAAACTCGCACTTCATCACATTAACAGTTTGTATCACATGTTACACCACAACTCTCTCCAGTTCCCCATAAATGGAAAAAGTTTCTAGTGAAGCAACTCTGAAACTTCCATGTCTCCGACTTCATTTATTTTGCAGAGTGGCTCTCTAGCTGCATGTAAATTAATTATGACACATAATGAAACGTTTTTAAGAAAAGATTTATTGATTAATTAATGTTTATTTGAAATGCTCCTTTACTGAATGCTTTCACGTCATAACTTAAGTGTACATTTAAGTTCTTTATTAATTGCTTATTAATGTTCTGTTATAATTAACACAGGAACTGTTCGTGTCATTTCAGCGTCACAGTCCACATTAATGGAAAACATTAGTTGTACAGTACAAATAGGGTTAGGGGTTACACAAGATTACTGACATTGGAGTGCAAAGCAGCGTTGCAGGAAGTAGTAACCTCTTTCTGCTCCTCGTGTGTTTCGTTTTGTGTTCACTTCTCTGTGTGTGTTTTCCCCAGCTGTGCAATATCACCTTTGCACTCATTTCTTCATCTTAAACACCCCGTGAATTTAGTTTTTGCAGATAGTAGGAAACCCCCCACCATCCTTGTTTGCTTGTTGATATCATTTAAATATTTACATTTACTTGTATATACGCATTTATATTTACATTATAACTGACTCTTTTAAATAAAACTGATTTAAATTTCATAAGACCTCTTTGCTGAGGCTGGTGAAATTTGCTTTCAGTACAGCATCGTAGGTAAACTCTATTTAATAGCGTCATGTAGAACCTAACATTAAAGTTTAAGGTTTATATCAGAACATCATTACTGGCTAATGTAGGTCACCAGCGAGATCTGTACTTTCTTTTATTACTTCTTGTTTGTGTTTAACCCCTACTTCTCTGTGTGTTGACTCTCTGCAGTTCCCTGTTACAAGCGTTGTAAACAGATGGAGTATTCAGATGAGCTGGAGGCCATCATAGAGGAGGATGATGGAGACGGGGGCTGGGTGGACACTTACCATAACTCAGGTTGGACGCCATCTGTCAAACATCCTTATATTGCATATATCCTGACCGAGGCTGCATCTAGTTCAGTTTGTTTAATGTCAGAAACTGATGTGGGTTTGATTGATATGCAGGTCGGATGGCAGCACGTTTGTACGAAAATACAGTATAAACAGTCAAATTTACATCACAGCTGTGATAAATTTGTGAGAAAAAGGTTAAGGTCAGAAGAGTAACAAACGTTGTTCTACCCAGCAGAGACCTGCAGAGGATCAAACATTATGCAAAAAAATTATATTGCAATTATATCGGAAAAGAGGGCTGGGAGATGTTACCATGATAAAAAAAATAAAAATCTGATAATTTGAAATCGATAATTATCACGATAAATGTCAAATCATTATTTCTTTCAAGTGTAAAGGCTGATTTTTTGCTCCTGAGTGAAAGTTGAAGAAACCAGATGGTTAATCGGGGTTTTAACTTTTCTTTATGGTCAGAACACCTGATGTCAAACAGTGGATCACTTAACAAATCTGAGGTAGAACCTTCAAAACTTTTATGATAAAGTCTTTTTTCAACAAATATGCATGAGTAAAATTCTTTTTTCTGTCCTTTTCCTCGACAAAATAAATATCCTAATAGAAAAATGATGCTAATTCGTTCGTGATTCAAATGAATAAATCAAACATTTATTGAACATTTGTAATATTGTTATTAACAAAAATAAATACTATTATTGCTTTATTGACCCGCCCTACATATAAGTCACAATTCTAGTGGGAATAGGCACTGAAAATATATAGAAATGAAGATGATGTTTTTTTAATGTAAAATATTTCTTTAAAATAAAAATGAAGATGACTGTGAGACCTCAGTATGTGTAAGTTTATAAAGATGATCTGAATTTCTCTGACTGATGTGTTCCGGCAGGTGTGTCAGGAGTCACAGATGCTGTACAAGATATTTCACTGGACAATAATAAGGTATGTTTCATTCTGATTAAATACACAACCAGGTCAGCAGCATGTCGCAGCTACAGAGCCAGATATTTCCCTCAGGAGCTGGTGGAGACCAAAAACCGAGCTAAAAGAGAGAGAATAGCGGACTTGCATTCGTCAGGTGGACACAAACACATCTCCAAATGAATGCCAATGTTGCTTAGTAACTGCTGGGGCTGATGACATGTCAGTGTTGTGTTCACTACTTGTTTCCGTTGAATTTAAAATGTACATCTACATTCGGATGTACTGAGTTCACATACAACAGATACCAAAAGTCGCCCATTACACTGCTGTTGTAAAAAGGTCACACTAACTTAGAAAAACTTGTTTATACTTGTTTAGGTTTATGTGCGCAGGTTTCCAGGTTTTTGAATTTAGTTTGTGCCGCTAAAGGCATTAAAAGATTACATGATGGGCATCCATGCTGTCTTTTTGATACTTCTACTAGAGTTGACATTGTACACTTTGTGGCTTTAAATGAAATGAAAGATGATACTTCTTAGCAGCAGTCGGTGAGCACCTGAAGTTCATTTAAAAAAAAAGACCTTTTCAGATGGTGAATACTCTTTTGGTGTTCGTCGTATGCCTTGGGAGCAGGTTTATAATCGTAGAGTGTGGCCGTTTAGTTTCAGCTGTCCTTTTA